AGCTCCAGGCCATGCCCCTGTCCCCGTCCGCTCCAGCGACGCCATCGTTCAATGCCGTAAATTAAGTTGGCAATTTCTCGTTTCTGTTTGTCGGTGAAATCTGTGGCTCGGACAAAAGAAAACTCCTGCCGGTGGAAAGCGGGCCTGCGCAATGAATGAATGGGGCATGGGGTCAGGCATTGAGTGGCAAGACTGAGTGCTGGCCAGCCATCGAAAGAGGCTGCCGATTGACCTCGACCTCGAGCCGGAGGATCCGCGAGGAGTGGCTTAACCGGACGGACGGTTGCAGTTCCATTAAAATCTCTCAAATATTTCTTTTACTATATGTTGTACCTGTTACCTTTCGTTTGCGTGGTGGCGGCTGCTGCTGTTGCTCCATTTTGGATCCGCACGCACGCACAATGCCCGATCTAATCCCTTAGAGAACTGTAAGCACAACTGAGACAGCACACGTCTGTGTCCCCACGAAATTTTGGGGCGAATCTTATCATCAAGGCAGTGCCAAAAAAATATGATACCCATTTATTTGCTTGCCTCTGAGACACTGACAATGATTATGGCGTATGATCTCGTGAGAGATATAAAGATACTGAGAGATAAAGAGAGAGATACGAAAATGTGGCTAGCACTTTCACTGCCAAAAACTGTATCTTACATTAACATTTTCATATTAGCTTCAGAGATGCGAGCAAATCTATGGGAAATGTATCTATAAAGAGTTGATATCTGTATCTATGAAAATTTGTGTAGCTGTTTCTGCAGCTGTAACTCCCCACAGCTCTCTGGCAGGGTCAACGTCATCTGGTGGGTGGGTGGCTAATGTCCATGTCCGGCATAAATTTCAATCTGCATCTCTTGCTCGCTTTTGGGGCTCTTTTCGGCGTTGGTGGCCGCAAATGTATCGCATTACATGCACAAGTTACTTTTGTATCTTTTGGCTGAAGTTTTTTTTTTTTTTTTTTTTTTGGATTAAGTAAGGCTCCAAAGTTAGAGCTGCTGCAGTCTCTTTCTCTCTCCCCCCGAGTCGTCGTAGAATTGAAATTGGAATTGGAGGAGACTTCACATGCAAATCAAAAAGACAGGAAATTATTACAACTTTTTACCTCCCCCCACACACCACACCACACACCGTAATCTCCACCCTCCCATCGATTCGAGTCTTGTATGTCTTTCTTTTTTTTTTTTTTGGTCATGTGCCTTGGGTTTCGCTTTGCTTTTTTCGATTCATTAGCATTACATGGCTTCCGTATTTGGTTATGAACTGACTCCCCAATGGAGCGCGGACTCCAAAAACCCATGCCATAGATACATAGATACATTATGTGGGTATGTATATTTTGCATAAGGTTCGTACCGTTTGGAAAGGTGGAAAATGGGTCACAGACTCCCCATAAACGGAAAGCCGTTTACAGCTATCGTTTCAGGTTCAAAGTCTTTTGCTTGGGGGGAGTCACAGATACATTCATTCAGTCTTTATATCTCAATTCCTAGCTCGATTCCATTGATGCAAATGTTCTAAGGAAGTGCCTGATGCTGCTGCTGCTGCTGAAGCTTCCTTTTGATGTGGTTTTCGGCGCTGCCTTGGCGGTTGATCTTCAGTTACATTTAACGTATGGATTACAACACCGAATGGCGCATCACAGAATCATCATCTTAGCACCATGTGAGATCTCCCCACAACCCCTACCCCGCCCCGCCCCACTTGGCGTGGCGTCTGTTAGGTGCGAAATTCTTTAGCAAATGCGATAATTTATCCATCAATCAGTCGGTTTGGTGGCACACATTCCAAATTGCCGCTCGCTGTTGAAAAGCTGTTAAGCCATCCAAAATGCTCGTGAGAATCAAGTCTGTGTGTCTGCCAATGTCAGGCCTAGAATCCGCCAACGGCTTACGTCATAAATAAAGTGGAGCCAATCGCCAGAGGAGCATAAAAACCAGACACCAGACCCCCCCACCAGACGGAGGCCACCAGCAAAAAACGGCGAACGGCAAACGGCGAACCAGTTCTACATCTCGACAAAAAAAAAAAAAAAAATGCTGCACTTTGAGATAAAGTTTGCAGCAGGAGAGGCTGCAACTGCAACTGTGTGGCTGCTGCGGCAGATGCCTTATGCAACCTGTGGCACATGCAAAGTGTTGCTGCCCGGAGAGAGTAGGCTTAGCCCCCCCCAAATTCCAGCACAGATTGCGGTAGTTGACGTCACAACGGGGAGGCTCGCTTAGAGGCCAACGGCAGTTGCCGTTAGCTGCCATTGGTGAGGTGGGGGGGGGCTGATCCCGATAGTCCAACATCTCCAAATGCCTGCGCTCCGTTGGATTGCAGTTTAGATAGCAGTTTGAAGGTTGCATTGGCTTTGCCCCAGAGTGCAATTCCATGTAGGAGTCAGCGGTCGCCGTCGCCCCTTGAGGGACGTGCCAAGCCCGCAGAATGTCAGCAAAAGCCAGGAAGTGATTGCGGCACAAAGCAAAGCAAAGCAAAGCAGAGCTGGAGCAAGTGGAATGGTCGGTAGAGCAGGTGGAGAGGGAGCTGTAAGGCGTGGGCCTTGAGGAAGGGGACCCACAGACAGCAAGAGGGACAGCTGTGTGGAAAAAGTAATGCGGGAAAAGGTGATCTATATATGCATGTATGTATGTTTATTTTACCATATTATGACATTTCCCCCTCATCAAGAAAAAGCAAAAAACAGCTAAAAGCAAAAGGTGTGTTGTGTTGTGTCAGTGTTTCAGGTTTGTAATTACAAATGATTTATTCGATTAATGCTCATCAGATGGCAATCGAACAACAAGTGCAATTACACGATCTAATGTGGATTATACAATTGCCGATCATTTGATATTTAATCGAATTATGCCGATAATAATAATTTATCGAACAATTTTGTTGGATTTTCACGCTTTTTTGTAATGTTAATATTATTTTATTAAGGGATAACAATGAATAAATATGAAATCGATTTACCGATACATTTTTAATTAATTAAAAATTATATATATATTTAATGCATATCTTTTATAGCTACCAAAACAGTCGATAAGTGGCAGATCGATATATTTTAAATAATGCTTACTCAGAAAACATAAAATTGTGCATTGATTTATGGATATTTTTGAGGGTGGGATACCCACTTTGAATGCAATAAATTAATATTTACTTATCAACATTAATTATCGAGAAATCGATAAATCATTTCACTGGGAAAGTATATTGCATCAAAAATAATTGCAATCCCCTACCCACACAAAAAAAAGGGGCTGCAATCACGGCTCGTTAGCGGAACCCACAGGGGGGAAGGGGGAATGGGGCAAGAGAGGGTGGCAGCAATTACCCAACTCTCTTCGATGCACAAAAAACCCAAAACCAACACCACAACAAGCCCCGCTTTTACCGCCTCATCAGCATTTCTACCATCGAAACAAAAATAATACCAAAAACCAAACAACAAAAATTATTACTAATTAATTATTGTTGCACAAATGCTCGACGCTTTGCTGCACTCCACGCTCCACCCCCCCTCCCCACCACTGTCTGTCTGCACTACCCGCCGGCGCGCGCGCAATTGGCTGGCACGGCCGGCGACGGGCGCCCTGGGGGTGCGCGGCATTTCGTCAGCCTCGTCGTTCAATTGGGATGGAGGGGGGGGCCACTCATTGGGGCACACACTCAATCAAGGGAGGGAGGGAGGCATTAAGGAGAGATGGAGGATGGAGAGCATTGGGCACTTAATTTCGTTTGAGCCGCATTTCACTTTCCATTTCTCCACAATCAAAATGCGTCGAGTACTTGCCGACTGACTTGTGGTGGAGGGGGCATACCGTGGACGCGACGCGACGCGGTGATTGGAAGGCGCAAAAATTTCAATTTCATTTTATTTATGAGCAGGCAGGCGACACTTTTGAATGCAAATGACGGCTAAATTGTGCTGGCTGGCCAAGCCAGAGACCGCTCTCTTTCTCAATTTTTATGTACACACCATTGTGCCACCCAACTGCCCAACTGTTTTGGCTGGGAAAATGCAGCATTAAATATGACAGAAGGCAGCCCCCCCCACAGCCACAGACACAGCCTCTTCCAAGCTTAGAGAAAATTCTAAAAGAAAGTGTTCTCCTGTTTAAATATTATGCAAAATTCGAATGGAATTTTAATAGAAGTGTAACCCCAACTAAAATTAACCAGGTAGAGATGCACAAGTAAAAGAGTACAGAAGAGTATGCCCGAAAATTCGAAACCAAAATACACGCGAGTCTTGCTGATCCCACAGAATTATTTTCTTTTGTTTGCTGGACTGCTGCAACGCTGTCGGCAACTCCTGCTAATAATAATGGAAATTGTGATATATCTAAAGGTAAAACTGCTTTTGATTCTCCATTGATCTATGAAGATCTGTACAAAATAAAGGAGCTGCCTGGTACAGGTCTCTACACACAAACAAATTTCAAAATCTAGAAAATAATCCAAGAAGAAAGAATCTTGAATGCCAAAGAGCAAAGAGAATGGAAACAGATTAACACAATTAATATAACTCTTGCGAGTTCAAGGGATCTACTTGTTTCATATTTCGATGTAAATTCTAGTTATATTTCTATTCTAATTTTCAAGCTTGCATTTTATTTGTTAAGCAAAATATTAAATCTGGGAATCCATAACCAATACAGGGGACAATATAAGTTCTTGACTTCCATTTATTTAAAAACTTTTAAAGGCATAGGCATAGCCCATAGATACGAGCACTACTGCTACGTTCCACAGATTTATTCCAACCCATAAAAATACACTACCAAGAGGGGGAGACCTCCAATTCTCAATGAGAATTACGAAGAGAGAAATTGAAGTCAGACGAATAGATTTTGAAGATTTCTTATGGTTCCCATGGCGGAAAACCTTATTCCAATTTGGAAATTGGAAACTCCAAACTGCAGTTCGAGGTCGCGCCGTGTATAATCCCATAAAGTAGATCGCGAGACCCAGCAGAGACCCAGATCTTTGCCACCACTCAACTCACCGTGTTGATCTTCTCCATGAAGACGCTCATTTGGTTTTTGGCAGACATTCTGCTTAAGTATTCTTCCGGTGTCTCCCCTTCAAAGAAGTGTCAGACTCAGGCACTGGCACTGCCTGTCGGTAAGGGCACACACATCACGCACAACACAACACAAGCCACACACTCCGCTCGCTGCATATGCCACTAATCGCGGGATTTTTTTTTAACAACAAACAAACAAATAAAAAACAAAAAAAATAAAACAAAAATAATATGGAAAATATGGCCTCTACTTTTCACAGTTCTCGATGGAAAATCACGCGCGCAATTTTGTTGTTTGGGGGTTTGTGATTATTTTTGATTTCGGTTTTTGGTTTTTGAATCTCTATTTTTGTTGTTGTTTTCCACCTCGAAAGCACCGTATTCGCATGCGTTCTTATCGACGGCTGGCAGCGCATTGAACGCTCAAGACGTGTCCAAGGCAGCAGCAAGCTCCAGACCAGAGCTTGGGCCAACAGACACGAGACGAGACCGACGACAACCGACAAGCAACGTCGTCGTCGTCGTCGTGAGCCGAAGAAGTTGGCCAAGACAAAGTTGCAGCGACAGGTGCCCGCAGCATAGAGACAGAGAGAGATAGAGAAACCGGCTGTGAGGTGTGCCTAATGCTTGAGACGCCACTGTGCCGAGTGGCCCAGTCGCCCCCACACGTTCCACTGTATATAGACCCTCCTCACCACCCACTGAGTGCCACTCGCCTTGGGCTCGCTGGCGGATTGGGGCCGTTTTGTGGGTGGTTTGTGTTTGTGGGGTGGAAATGCGCGCATTCCATGCGGACTTAGGCAGAAAAAACAAGGGCAGGCGGCAGGCCCTAAACCCACTCGATCCCAAATGAAAAGCTGCTTGCCATGACACTCGTGAGATGTGCGACGAAGTTTTCCCAAAGAAAAACCTAACTTCTGTGCCCGTTATCTGCCTTGAACTCTTTTTGAATAATTTTCATGGAATTCGTGAGTGAACACAAAAATGAGCGAGAAAAATGAAGGGATCGAAGACAAAATTGTATCGATTACTAAACGATCATTTAAAAGTTGATTTTTATTATTTTTGTGGGGAAAAACGACTCATCGATAATTTATCGATAAATAAATTGTCCATATTTATGTTTAATAAAATGCAAGATCTTTGAACGCAATCGATTGTGCAGTTTCGAATAAAACCAATAAATAAAATATACAAAATATAAAACACACACACGAAATAATCGAACAGCTTAATTAGCTCTGGCAAATGAACAACAAATAAACGCCACAGACAATGCAATGAGCATTGCAATATTTATAATAGATAAATATATATATTTATGTATATATGTAATATGTCTATACGATATTTGTAGCTTTGGCAACGAAGTCAAAGTCAAAATCCATTTAAGGTCGTCACAAATAAACTTTTTTGTCGTTCTTTTTTTGTGCCGTTTTTTCGCAAGTGTCATGCAGAAAAGCGAAATATCATGGCTACAAAAAAAAAACCCTCCTCCATCCTCCTCTGCCCCCCTTGCAGCTGTTTTTTATGTAACGGTCCTTGTTAAGAGTCAATGCTGCCTCTCCCGTTCCTCTTCTCTCCGCTCCGCTTCTCCTTCTATTCATTGGCCAACAAAAATATTGGCCGTCATTCAATTAAGCGCTTGGTGACAGATTCGACCGTTCGTTCATTTGTTGCTGTTCTTCTTCTGCGGTTCTCTTCATTCGATCGTTGACACCCTGTTTATCCGATGGCTGTGGCTGTGGTTGTGGCTGTGCTGCTATGATGAAACCCCCCCAAAAACAGAGCGACATATTTCTCTTTAAAATGTTCCCTATATATCCCCCCATTGATGTATTTTATATATTCATCTATAAATTGAGCTATACAAATTTAACTTAAATTAGCTGGCAAATTAGGTATCCCCAGAGTCGGAATCTTCTGTGTTTTTTTTTGGTCGGTACTCGGCAATTATTGATTTGGGGGTCGGTCTCTGTTTAATTCTTCAGTTAACCGCCAAATGTTGTTTGGGCAACGAACTCCGTGTCTCCCCTCTCTCCACTGGAGAGGGTTTTACTCCCTGGTTTTACTCACCTGCTGGCTGGGATATTCGTTGTCTCTGGTTGAAGTTCAAGTCTTTGGCTGCAAGAGAGAGAAAGAGAGACGATACGAAATTAGTTGTGCGTTGCCTTCCACCGGCATTGATTAATGCAATCTTCTCGTTAATTTCCCATTTTCCAATTACAAAATTTCCATTTCCCAAGGAAAGGGTTTTTTTTAAGTTTTTTTTTTATATTTTGTTTGTGCCAACTCATCAGCCGCGAGCGAAAGCCAAACGCCAAACGCCAGACAAGACATAATTTCCCATTAGCAGGTTTTTAATGGATGAATTATGGATTATGGCGGATGGCAGATGGGAAAAGCTTAGAGGCGGCTATGGAGGATTGTTGCCTCCTCGCTCAGAGAACACACAACATTTAATTTCCCTGGAAACTCCGCGCCTAATCAGATTTGTGTGCTGTCTGCCACTTGCCACTCCCTTCCTACCAGCCATCCATCCGCTAATCAGACGATGCACTCAGCCCATCCTCCTCTTAAATCTAAGATCTTTTCAAATTTGATTTATGCGCTCCGCGGGTATTTCACTTGGGCTACCAAATAAACCAAACGAAACCCAAAAATTGCTCCATAAAAGCAGTTGAAAGTGAAACTTTTTTGTTTGTTTGTCAACTGTTTTTTTTCTGCTTCTTGTTTTTGTTTCTTGTGCATTTCAATTTTTGTTTTCGCTTGTTTTCAATTTCACTAGAAAGCACAAAAACGCCTTCACCTCCGCCTCCCTCTTGATATTCTCAAAGGGAAGAAATTGTTAGAGTCAGCAGCGGCACCTGATCGGAATGAGTAAGAGAATGAGAAGTCGTCTGTGGGTTGGGGAGGGAGGCAGGCTCCAACGCCCCATGGCATGGCAAGCAGCTGAGGGGGAGACAGCTAAGACAGCTAGATATGTAGATAAATCTGCATCTGATCTCTAATCTTACCCCTCGATATCAGAGAGAAATCTGCCGACATTTGGCAACGAACTCTGTGCCTGCAATAAAGATCGATTTCTATAGCCAGCAATAATTTTACTTTAGTTTTATCTAGTTTAATCGATTGGCCGCCAGGCGACATCACATCAGCGTTTTGGGCCCTTTTCCGGCCTACGACTAGCGGCATTTTCGCCAAAAACGGATGCACAGAAGCAGAGAAAGACAGAGAGAGAGGGCGAGAGAGAGAGAGAGAAAGAAGTCTGACAAATTGATATGCGGACATTCGTACTTTCGGGCGAACTCTGGGGCGGGCATTAGCATACGATGCGATGCGTTGTGTCTTCTGTGTCCGCGTATGCCACTGTCTCTGGCTCTGCCTCTGCCTCAATTAACGATTCCGCTCAGCTAATATCGGTTTCACCCACCAAAACAAGGGGCGGGTGTATTGCCAGACTAGCGAGCGACGGGGGCGGTGGCGGGCGCGGGGGCACAGCTGATGGACGGTATTTCAAATTTTTCGAAGAAAGTCTGCCAAAAGGCGCACTGCGCTGCGGCGCTGCGCTGCTCCAACGCTTCCCCGTTTCCATATGAAAGTTGAATCCAAGTCTGAGTCCCCCCCCCTGAGTTGAATGACTCAGAAGCCAAAATCAAAATAAGAAATAAAAACTAAATTTGTTTTCGGTTTTTATTTTGTTTTTTTTTTTTTCATCGTCTGCCCATAAACTTTTTTAGGGGGCGGCAGCAATCACAAGGCCTCTGCGGACTCGGTTGTGGCTGTAGCTGTGGCTGCCTCTGTGCTTCGGGGAGTAAAAGTTTTTTTCTAGTTTTCTCTGACATCATCGGACATCGGATCGCGCACATCCGATAACTGCTGAAATTTACACCTCACTTTTGGTTTTTAAATGTGCAATCAAAAGTGCAATTAAATATTGAAATAAATGCCGCCTCATTTGCAGTGCATTTAAAGGGCAAATGTATTTGTATTTGTATTAATGCAGCATTAGGGCCGGGCCCAATCGAATGGCAAATCGTTAAGAGCAGATCGTTAAACCCAACGGGCCCTAGCCCCACCAAAGTGCATTAGAAGGCAGCATAAACATTAGCTGGCGGCCAGAAGGATGCATTCCGCGAGGAGCATCACAAGGGCCACACAGTCCCAGTCATTCGAAGGTCTCAAAAGGCTAGAGAATTTATGCTGAAAGATCGCAACGAATCATGAGAGATACCCCTCCCCCCATTGAAGATCCGCTCTACTATTTTCCCGTTTAATGCTCTTCTCGTCGCAACAAAAATTTTATATCATGGGTTCTCGTTCCTCTCTCAGTTTGCGTTCCAGCGTAAAACTAATCGGAGCTAAAGTTGTATAGAAAAATACAATACCCTCTGCTACAGTCATACCGATCACAAAAAAATGCGGGAAAATGTGGGTAGTGTTTGTGCGCGTAGTATTTTTGATGGGAGTGCACACTGTACAGGTACAGGTACAGGTAGAGGTACAGGGGTACCTGGGTTTCCAGTATTATTATTGCTCGTTGTTTTTGGAAGTGTTTTTTTGGTGGGATTGCATTAAAAAACGTGAGTGCGTGAAATGTCTACAACAACAACAACAAAATTATTGCTACCTGCCGCACTGCCTGCCCATTCCCCTGCCTCACTGCCTTGCCTGTCCCCGCTCCCTGCGGCAGCCCTTTTTCTGCCACTCAGAGGCAGTGTTTTTTTTTCTCTGTTGATATTTTTTGGGTAATCATTACAATTGTTGTTGCTATTGTTACTGTTATTATTACGAGTGTATTATTGCTGTTTCGGGGTCAGCACAACAACAACAAAAAATAGTATGTCAATGCGGGATGAGCGGCGGGATCTCCAGAGCGATGCCAGAGATGTGCAGCGATAAACATTTCTGTATGTGTGGCATAAATGTTCCATTTGTGGTGTACCATTCGATAGATGCTGGGCAGATATATATACATATATATTATCGATAATGGAATGTATAATTTCCAAGCATAATTCCATCGATGACGATCCAATAGTAAAGGGCTTAAACACTCCACTGCATCTGGCATCTGCCTCCTCCTCTTTCGCCTGCTGCTTCATGGCACTCTTCTCCTGCACGCCACATGCCACACGCATCCCCCCCACGACCGAGCCAATCGCACTCAAAGAAAAATCATATAAATCA